TCACCTCTTTAAAATGTCCTCACTAACTCTGTCTCCCTCCCAGGCACTTTATTCAATCACTGTGATGTGAGGAAGAACACCACCTAACTTCAGGTTAAGGACTGCAGGTCAAGTGGAGATCGCAGCCTGCGGGAGATCCTGTGAAACGTTGTCTATGTGAGTAGAAACTCTAAATAAGCACACACACACACACACACACACACACACACACACACACACTACCTTTACATAACTGCTTAGGCTTGACGTAGCCAGAATGAGACATAGGGCAGGAGTCAATCTATTGTTTCTGTTGTGTGAGTCAGCTTGATGTACAGTACACCCCCTTTTACAGGACGCTAGGCCTATCGATCAGTAGCTTAGTGGTTAAGTGCGTTGTGCCAGTAACCGAAAGGTCGCTGGTTCTAATCCCCGAGCCGACTAGGTGAAAAATCTGTCGATGTGCCCTTGAGCCGGGCACTTAACCCTAATTGCTCCTGTAAGCAATGTTAAATGTGCAACCAGAGGGAAAAAAACTCTAGACCACCTTTACTCCACACACAGAGACGCATACAAAGCTCTCCCTCGCCCTCCATTTGGCAAATCTGACCATAACTCTATCCTCCTGATTCCTGCTTATAAGCAAAAACTAAAGCAGGAAGCACCAGTGACTCGGTTAATTAAAAAGTGGTCAGATGACGCAGATGCTAAGCTACAGGACTGTTTTGCTAGCACAGACTGGAACATGTTCCGGGATTCTTCAGACAGCATTGAGGAGTACACCACATCAGTCACTGGCTTCATCAATAAGTGCATTGATGATGTCGTCCCCACAGTGACCGTACGTACATACCCCAACCAGAAGCCATGGATTACAGGAAACATCCGCACTGAGCTAAAGGGTAGAGCTGCCGCTTTCAAGGAACGGGCTCTAACCCGGACGCTTATAAGAAATCCCGCTATGACCTCCGACGAACCATCAAACAGGCAAAGAGTCAATACAGGTCTAAGATTGAATCATACTACACTGGCTCTGATGCTCGTCGGATGTGGCAGGGCTTGAAAACTATTACAGACTACAAAGGGAAGCACAGCCGCGAGCTGCCCAGTGACACAAGCCTACCAGACGAGCTAAACCACTTCTATGCTCGCTTCGAGGCAAGCAACACTGAAGCATGCATGAGAGCACCAGCTGTTCCGGATGACTATGTGATCACGCTCTCCGTAGCCGATGTGAGTAAGACTTTTAAGCAGGTCAACATTCACAAGGCCGCAGGGCCAGACGGATTACCAGGACGTGTACTCCGAGCATGTGCTGACCAACTGGCAAGTGTCTTCACTGACATTTTCAACATGTCCCTGACTGAGTCTGTAATACCAACATGTTTCAAGCAGACCACCATAGTCCCCGTGCCCAAGGACTCTAAGATAACCTGCCTAAATGACTACCGACCCGTAGCACTGACGTCTGTAGCCATGAAGTGCTTTGAAAGGCTGGTCATGGCTCACATCAACAGCATTATCCCAGAAACCCTAGACCCACTCCAATTTGCATACCGCCCCAACAGATCCACAGATGATGCAATCTCTATCGCACTCCACACTGCCCTTTCCCACCTGGACAAGAGGAACACCTACGTGAGAATGCTATTCATTGACTACAGCTCAGCATTCAACACCATAGTGCCCTCTAAGCTCATCACTAAGCTAAGGATCCTGGAACTAACCACCTCCCTCTGCAACTGGATCCTGGACTTCCTGACGGGCCGCCCCCAGGTGGTAAGGGTAGGTAACAACACATCTGCCACACTGATCCTCAACACGGGGGCCCCTCAGGGGTGTGTGCTCAGTCCCCTCCTGTACTCTCTGTTCACCCATGACTGCATGGCCAGGCACGACTCCAACACCATCATTAAGTTTGCCGACGACACAACAGTGATCTGGCCTGATCACCGACAACGATGAGACAGCCTATAGGGAGGAGGTCAGAGATCTGGCCGTGTGGTGCCAGGACAACAACCTCTCCCTCAACGTGACCAAGACAAAGGAGATGATTGTGGACTAGAGGAAAAAAAAGAGGACTGAGCACGCCCCCATTCTCATCGACGGGGCTGTAGTGGAACAGGTTGAGAGCTTCAAGTTCCTTGGTGTCCACATCGCCAACGAACTATCATGGTCCAAACACACCAAGACAGTCGTGAAGAGGGCACGACAAAGCCTATTCCCCCTCAGGAGACTAAAAAGATTTGGCATGGGTCCTCAGATCCTCAAAAAATTCTACAGCTGCACCATCGAGAGCATCCTAACTGGTTGCATCACCGCCTGGTATGGCAACTGCTTGGCCTCCGACCGCAAGGCACTACAGAGGGTAGTGCGTACGGCCCAGTACATCACTGGGGCAAAGCTTCCTGCCATCCAGGACCTCTATACCAGGCGGTGTCAGAGGAAGGCCCTCAAAATTGTCAAAGACTCCAGCCACCCTAGTCATAGACTGTTCTCTCTGCTACCGCACGGCAAGCGGTACCGGAGTGCCAAGTCTAGGTCCAAAAGACTTCTCAACAGCTTCTACCCCCAAGCCATAAGACTCCTGAACAGCTAATCATGGCTACCCGGACTATTTGCACTGCCCCCCCACCCCATCCTTTTTACGCTGCTGCTACTCTGTTAAGTATTTATGCATAGTCACTTTAACTCTACCCACATGTACATATTACCTCAACTACCTCAACTAGCCGGTGCCCCCGCACATTGACTCTGCAACGGTACCCCCCTGTATATATAGCCTCCCTACTGTCACTTTATTTTACTTCTGCTCTTTTTTTTTCAACACTTTTTTTGTTGTTGTTTTATTCTTACTTTTTTTGTTTAAAATAAATGCACTGTTGGTTAAGGGCTGTAAGTAAGCATTTCACTGTAATGTCTGCACCTGTTGTATTCGGCGCATGTGACCAATAAAATTTGATTTGATTTGATTTGATTTGAAGTCGCTCTGGATAAGAGCGTCTGCTAAATGACTAAAATGTAAAATGTATATCTAAGATCTAGGGACATTTTTACATTACATTTTAGTCATTTAGCAGACGCTCTTATCCAGAGCGACTTACAGTTAGTGAATACATTTATTTATTTTTTATACTGGCCCCCCATGGGAATCGAACCCACAACCCTGGCGTTGCAAACGCCATGCTCTATGAACTGAGCTACATCCCTGCCGGCCATTCCCTCCCCTACCCTGGACGACGCTGGGCCAATTGTGCGCCGCCCATGAGTCTCCCGGTCGCGGCCGGCTGCGACAGAGCCTGGATTCGAACCAGTATCTCTAGTGGCACAGTTAGCACTCGGGGGACTTATGTAAAGTGACCAAATGTAAAGTTTCAGGTAAGAGCAAAAAACCAAATGTTCCACTTTAGGGCTTACAGAAATGTGGTTGTTTATAAATGAATTAGTTAAATGAAGTAATTAAATGAACGGCTGGAATTGGATTGAAGGGGAATAACTCAATGGCAGTTACATTTTTGGAGTTGACCCGGAACCTTGTTCTCTGCTGGGAGGAGCCTGCTGATTTAAATAGACCCCAACCCTGTTGACCTATGGCAGAATGAATTGGTACTGTTTCTAACAGTGTTGTTTGTGTGTCTCCCGGTTGCTAGGTACTCTGCAGAGAAAAACACCTTGATGCACTCCTGGTTAAGAGCGTTGTGCCAGTAACCGAAAGGTCGCTGGTTCTAATCCCCGAGCCGACTAGGTGAAAAATCTGTCGATGTGCCCTTGAGCAAGGCACTTAACCCTAATTGCTCCTGTAAGTTGCTCTGGATAAGAGCGTCTGCTAAATGACTAAAATGTAAAATGTAGCTGCTAATGGTCCTGAAGCTTCGGTATACACTCTCTCTGCTCTACTCCTTCGGCTGCTCAGTGAACAGGCTACTCTGGCGAATGGTGTTTGTTTAATAAAGTTAGATCAAAGTTGAATCAATGTCTGCAAGATCACATAGTGATGTCATTCTACATAACAGAGCCCAATGCAATGGCATAGTGTAACGTTACTGTAAGAAGAAAAAAAAACACCACACCATTTCTCTCATGTGGGGAAAACTCAACAGCGCGCACCACCAGGTAAAATATATGCAGATCATGCATGACGTGTCACCGGTCAAATTTGACTAATTATCATTCATGATTCACAGTGAGAAATGTGAGTTACAAACATTTGTACATAATGTTGAGGAAAAAAAAGTCACACATGCGCAGAATGTGATGCGGAACTTCAGTTCTGGTGAAAAGGGATCCAGGGGGGCGGGACGGGGCCAGACAGAGCGGTTACCTACGAATCCGCAACGGCCAATTATATAAACTGCTACTATTAAAGGGGCAATATGCAATTCAAACAATAACAAGAAGAGAGAAATTAAACCACTCTCAAATGTATAGACGGCTATACAGTTTTAGTTTACAATTACGTTATTCACAAACAATGGAATAAAACAAGTTTATATTTCGCTTTTGATGGGCTATGACAGTTATATTCTTCAAGAATCAATGGGTATATCATCCATTTAAAAATCCAAAAATGGGTGTAGCAATCACAGATTACGCACTGAAATCTGCAATATTGATTACCTATTCCGATACATTGATGTCAAAATGTCACAAGAACCATAGTATATTATTAGAAACAAAATTAGGCTGGATAAGAGCGTCTGCTAAATGACGTAAATGTAAAATGTAGACAATAGATATGCACTCACTCACTCACCAACGTTTTATTATGAGCTGTTTCTATACGGATGTTATTGAATGCAACAAACTGGCTACCTACCTGTCATTTCCAGAGATCCTCTCACTGACAGAAATAAAATAAATCTATATTTTGTTTTGCCAATTATATTTTCATGAATGTGTCTGTCATTTCAAGATGTAGCCAATATTCACCTAAATATATTGAAACTATAGACAGTATTTTCAGCCGGACCTTGACTTCGCTTGTTGTTCCACCGGAGGAATTTGAATGCTGCACAACTTGGCAGCCGTGTCGATGGAGGAGCACGAAGTACAAGTGGGCACAGTTTTATCATAAATATCGCGTTTAAATAACAATTGCCCTTAAATAAATTGTATGCTTCACATCGGCACAACACGAAACCAATATATCAACTGCAACAGCGTTGTAGTTTGAGGTAATTATGATTGTTTTAGCTAACGTTACATGGACTTTTCTCTGCGACTTTTCCCAGCTCGCTACCTAGCTGTTAGCATTACCAAGCTCAACAGTCGAGATCCTCTGTCCGGTTTTGGTGTGTTAAAATGTGCAATAATGCTAAGTATTTGTAACTAACAGCTGGTTGTTAGTGTGGGTGCGTTTGCAACATAGTGTAGAGTGTCCAATCAAACACGCATCTTTTGACCAATGGGTCAAATAATATGATAATTGTGTAGATAACGCTAAGAAAACCAATGGTCCAAAACCTCATGTCTATCAAAATCTTTTCAAAAGTTTTGTTTTTACGCTGGTAGGATGACTAGAATTAGGGTGACTACATCAATGGAGGCTAGAGGAAAAAAGTGGTCAAAAATCTGGATTCTGTGCAAGATTTACAGTAATTAGGGTGACTGGCAGGCTCACTTTCCCGTCATCTTTCTAATCGAATCCGCAGGACATAAAACGATATGGAGGTCAAATTGATATTAATTTAGACATGACGGGTAGTATTTATATATTTTAGTATACGGTTTTCATATTAATTCGAAATTCTTGTTCTTTTTCCGAAGATTACTCAAAAACAATCGTATTTGTGAAATGTCAGCGGAGCACTGAGCGTTTTATTTCAAAGCCTTTTATATTTAATTCAGCTCGTGTGATGCTAATTTAGGTGTTTGCGACTCGCGGAAACAACTTTGAAGACGACAACCACAAGATGGAAAATCCTCAAGTTTTTACGAGAAACCTACAACGATGAGAAACCTGCATCGATGGCAAGAGTTACGGATGTATTAGGTTACGAAATCTGACTTTTTGGATATAGTGCTAATGATATGTTAGAGAGAGACCCCACTGAACGATTCAGAAAATTTAATGATAATATCTGTCTTGGTAAAATGTATTTTGTAACATAAGGAAGTGACATTTCATCACCAAAGCGTGTTTTCACCCACTGGACACCATATAGTGTTAGCACATACTTTCTAAACCCAGCGGCGCAACATCCCGAGAACCGGGAACGCTTGCAAAACAGATCAAACAGACCAGGCCGGGAATTGAGAAGTAAATTATATAAGCGTTTTTTCCCTTTAGTAGTTAATTTTCTCAATCTAAAGGCACAACCTAGATTCGAGCCAATGGCTTAAGTGTCAATCAAATTGACGGTACAGTTGAAACCGGGGTTCATCCGTGAAGAGAACACTTCTCCAGCGTTCTTGTGTCCATCAAAGGTGGGCATTTGCCCACTGAAGTCGGTTACGACACCGAGCCTCAGTCAGGTCAAGACCCTGGTGAGGACGACGAGCACGCAGATGAGCCAGTCAGGTCAAGACCCTGGTGAGGACGACGAGCACGCAGATGAGCCAGTCAGGTCAAGACCCCGGTGAGGACGACGAGCACGCAGATGAGCCAGTCAGGTCAAGACCCTGGTGAGGACGACGAGCACGCAAATGAGCCAGTCAGGTCAAGACCCTGGTGAGGACGACGAGCACGCAGATGAGCCAGTCAGGTCAAGACCCTGGTGAGGACGACGAGCACGCAGATGAGCCAGTCAGGTCAAGACCCTGGTGAGGACGACGAGCACGCAAATGAGCCAGTCAGGTCAAGACCCTGGTGAGGACGACGAGCACGCAGATGAGCCAGTCAGGTCAAGACCCTGGTGAGGACGACGAGCACGCAGATGAGCCAGTCAGGTCAAGACCCTGGTGAGGACGACGAGCAGATGAGCTTCCCTGAGACAGTTTGTGCTGATATTCTTCGGTTGTGCAAACCCACAGTTTCATCAGCCGTCCGGGTGGCCGGTCTCAGACCATCCCGCCGGTGGAAAAGCCAGATGTGGAGGTCCTGGGTTGGCGTGGTTACACGTGGTCTGCGCTTGAGGCCGGTTGGACGTACTGCCAAATTCTCTCAAATGACTTATGGTAGAGAAATTAACATTAAATTCTCTGGCAACTGCTTTGGTGGATATCCCTGAAGTCAACATGCCAATTGCACGCTCCCTCAACTTGAGACATCTGTGGCATTGTGTTGTGTGACAAAACTGCACATTTTAGTGGCCTTTTATTGTCCCCAGCACAAGGTGCACCTGTGTAATGATGATGCTGTTTAATCAGCTTCTTGATATTCCACACCTGTTAGGTGGATGGATTATCTTGCCAAAGGAGTAATGCTCACTAACAGACATGTAAACAAATTTGTGCACAACATTTTAGAGAAATACGCTTTTTGTGCGTATGGAAAATTTCGGGGATCTTTTATTTCAGCCCACGAAACATGGGACCAACACTTTGCATGTTGCGTTCATATTTTTATTCAGTATATGTAGCTCTCTACCTTACCAATAATAAGCATATTCTACCCCTCTTCTCTCCCTCACAGCCATGGCAGCGTTGTCGGAGGAAGTGCTGCTGGTGGTGAAGAGGGTCCGACAGAGGAAGCAGGATGGGACACTCTACCTGATGGCAGAGAGGATAGCCTGGGGACCAGAGGGGAAAGACCGTTTCACAGTCAGCCACCTGTATGCTGACATACGCTGTAAGTACTGAGTACCAGGCTACCGGCAGAACAGCTCACACAACACTTTGGCTTGGCTCAGTGTTGTGAAAGGGTAGTCTATCTGTACTGCGCTGGTCTGGCTACCCCCCCCCCCATAGTCTCTGAAGCCATGCTGGAAAGGACAATGTGAACATTTTCAAGCACGGTGCTGTGAAAAGGGTAATAGAGGTTCATTGCTATGATTGGTTGATGATAGTTGTAAGACCTAGGCCTTTTCCCTGTTCAGGTCAGAAGATCAGCCCAGACGGCAAGGCCAAGATTCAGCTGCAGTTGGTCCTCCACACGGGGGAGAGCACCAACTTCCACTTCTCCAACGAGAGCACTGCCCTGAAGGACCGCGATGCAGCCAAGGATCTCCTCCAGCAGCTGCTGCCCAAGTTCAAGAAGAGGGCCAACAAGGAACTGGAGGAGAAGAACAGGTGGGTAGTATTCACCAGAAACTAAACGGAACCAAACAGGGAGAGACTTACCTGAATTTGTCCATTAGAAAGACTTCTGTTCGATGCGAAACGTTTTGCGATGTTGTACGACTAATGAATACACCCCAGATCTCCATCGTTTCAACATAACGGAATGATTCCAGAGCAATGCCACTTAGCCTTAACTAGATTGCAACAACAACAACAAAATAGCCAGCTAATATTTACTTTTGCTTACATGCTCTTATAACTTGGATCATTTCTGACTACAATATGTTATCAACCAAAGGCTGTTTGTGATGTATTGTTTTTCCCTCCCTCTCTAGAATGTTACAGGAAGATCCGGCGCTAATATTTACTTTTGCTTACATGCTCTTATAACTTGGATCATTTCTGACTACAATATGTTATCAACCAAAGGCTGTTTGTGATGCATTGTTTTTCCCTCCCTCTCTAGAATGTTACAGGAAGATCCGGCGCTAATATTTACTTTTGCTTACATGCTCTTATAACTTGGATCATTTCTGACTACAATATGTTATCAACCAAAGGCTGTTTGTGATGTATTGTTTTTCCCCTCCCTCTCTAGAATGTTACAGGAAGATCCGGCTCTGTTTCAGCTTTACAAGGATCTGGTGGTGTGTCAGGTGATCAGCGCTGAGGAGTTCTGGGCCAATCGGCTGAGCGTAAACAACGTGGACCACTCCCTCTCCAACAACAAGCAGGAAGTGGGCATCTCGGCAGCCTTCCTGGTGAGCTCGGCAATAATAGTGACTGTGTCCCCAAAATGGTCAAAAGTAGTGCACTATATAAGGAATGGGGTGCCATTTGGGGACAAAACCAATGTTTCCCAAAACGGTCAAACTGTCCCCGTGTCCCGTTTATCCTGTCTTTCTGTCCAGCACATGCTGACACCAGTCCGATGCTTTCCAATGTGCAGGGACTGCTGCACTATTGCACAATTCTGGAGAAAACAGATTGTTTTGGGACACAGGGAGTGTGAATGGTGGAGGATGGATAAAATGGTGATATCTGTGTGTTATTTCAGGCGGACATCCGGCCCCAGACAGATGGCTGTAACGGCCTGAGATACAACCTTACCTCTGACATTATCGAGTCAATCTTCAGGACGTACCCTGCAGGTAAGATACCTCCCCTTCTCTGTCATGGAAACCAATGGGAAGAGTTGACACGACGTTGTCACTTCACCTACTTGGTGATCGACCCGTAATGATTGGCCGTGCATGCTAGATGGGACTTTGGGCCCTGTTTGAATACCTTTCCAATAAATGTATGCATGCATGACTAAGTCGCTTTGGATAAAAGCGTCTGCTAAGTGGCATATATCATTTAAATTATATACACTGAGTGTACAAAACATTAGGAACACCTTCCTAATATTGAGTTGCACCCCATTTTGCCCTCAGAACAGCCTCAATTCGTCGGGGCATGGGATTCGAAGTTGTCGAAAGCGTTCCACAGGGATGCTGGCCCATGTTGACTCCAAACTGTTGAGCATGGAAAAACCCAGCAGCGTTGAAGTTCTTGACACAAACCGGTGCGCCTGGCACCTACTACCATACCCCGTTCAAAGGCACTTAAATATTTTGTCTTGCCCATTCACCCTCTGAATGGCACAAATACACACACACAATCCATGTCTCAATTGTCTCAATGCTTAAAAATCCTTCTTTAACCTGTCTCCTCCCCTTCATCCACACTGATTTGAAGTGGATTTAACAAGTGACATCAATAATGGATAATAGCTTTCACCTGGTCAGTCTGTCATGGAAAATGCAGGTGTTCCTAATGTTTTGTCCACTCAGTCTTTCATCCTCACTAGGTTATTCCTGATCTGTACATTATTGGATAAGGGAAGGTATCCAATCAGATCAGTGATTACATAAGATGTATTTTTTTTTTTTACGTATTCAAACAGGGCCATGTTTTTTTTTGTTTTTAGCATCACACCAGTGTCCTATCTTGTCGTTGACAAACTTACCGTTTCCTCCCAGTGAAACAGAAGTACGGCGAGAACGTTCCTCATAACATGACAGAGAAGGAGTTCTGGACGCGGTTCTTCCAGTCCCACTACTTCCACCGAGACCGCATCAACACGGGCCTGCAGGACATCTTCTCCGAGTGTGCCAAGCAGGACGAGAAGGGTAGAGACACTGGGCTTATAAAAACCTTTATTCACAAGGTTATCTTATTGGTAAAGCCTCCATCTTCTACACCTGAAGGGAGTGATACCTACATGTTGATGCTGTAATGATTAGTGTCTGTTTTTTTTTATGATGCGCATTTGCATATTCTGCAGGACTGAAGTCCATGGTGGTCCAAGGAGTGAAGAACCCAATGGTGGACCTGCTGTCACTGGAGGACAAGTCGTTAGATGAGGTGACGTTACGTTATTGGGTACCTTACACCATTAGGAACCAAACAGGATCTACCTGAATTTGTCCCAATAGAAATTCTTGATTTTGTTACAACTGTTTTTGCTAATGGATACATCCCTGGGTTGTGTTCATTAGGATGCACTGTAGCAGTGCCTAAAATGTAACACCTGCCAAATGCATTGGTGGGTAAGATATTTCACCAGCCATGTTGGCGGTGTTGGTGAGGACTCCTTGGTGCTCGCATTTCACTTTCACATTTATAGGAGAATAAATGCTGCACTAGCTGTTTTCAAAGTGTTTCTGACGTTTTTTTTGTTTCATAGCTGGTAAATTGATCCACAAAGTCAAAAGAACTACAAATCCTATAGCCCATCCCACCTCGCACTGCAGCACTGCCTGGCTGGGGGCTGTGTGAAGACCTGAGGAAAGATTCATTTTTAGAAGCACAGGCATAAAAGTTGGAAATTTACTTGAAACACCACAAAAGTCTAAATGAAGTGAGACTTTGTCCTTTGCGTTTCTTGGCTAAATGTATAATCCGGGGATCATTTCTGTATTTTTTTTTTAAGTAACATATCTTGAAAACTTGATTGCTGACAAGCAAAATATTTGGGGGACTATGTCAACAATGGACTAATGAAACAAACACCAAAATAAAGTTTTTGGATGTAGTTTTCCTTTAAGTGTGAGTGAATACAGTATGGCGTTAAGCCACCAGGTCACTCCTCTACTACAACATACTGGATCTACAGCACACAATCCTGCGTGTGTCTCTTCAGTCCCCGCTCTTCCATAAGGTGTACTTTTATCTGTTAAAAAAAATAATAATCTGATTTTACTGCTTGCGTGAGTTACTTGATGTGGAATAGAGTTCCATGTAGTCATGGCTCTGTGTTGTACTGTGCGCCTCCCATATTCTGTTCTGGACTTGGGGAATGTGAAGAGACCTCTGGTGGCATGTCTTGTGGGGTATGCATGGGCGTCTGAGCTGTATGCTAGTGGTTTAAACAGACAGCACGGTGCATTCAACATGTCAATATGTCTCACAAATACAAGTAGTGATGAAGTCAATCTCCTCTACTTTGAGCCAGGAGAGATTGACATGAATATTATTGTTAGCTCTCATGTACATTTAACGACCAGCCGTGTTGCCCTGTTCTGGGCCAATTGTAATTTTCTTAAGTTCCTCTTTGTGGCAGCTGACCACACGACTGAACAGTAGTCCAGGTGCGACAAAACTAAGGCCCGTAGGACCTGCCTTTAGTTGAGGTTTAGTTAATGATTTGTCTCAAATACAAAGCTTTTTCGTTTTTGAAATATTTAGGACTAACTTATTTCTTGCCACCCGACTGCAGCTCTTTGTTAATTGTTGCAATGAATTCACTTGCTGTGGTAGCTGATATGTATAGTGTTGAGTCATCGGCATACATAGACACACACGCTTTACTCAGAGCCAGTGGCAGGTCATTTAGTAAAGGGGCCTAGACATCTGCCCTGGGGAATGCCTGACTCTACCTGGATTATGTTGGAGAGGCTTCCATTAAAGAACACCCTGTGTGTTCTGTTAGACAGGTAACTCTTTATCCACAATATAGCAGGGGGTGTAAAGCCATAACAAGAACACAGATCAACAGAAGAGAAACAGCAACAGAACACAGATCCTTTTGGTTCAGATAATACCTCACTGTTTCACTCCTTTTTTTTTGTTGCCTGTTTCACAACCAAAGTTTATAATCTTCGGACAAAACGCATGTGGTATTTTGTTGGAGAGGTTGTGAGCATTCATTCACATTCTAATGCTGCCTGCCAGCTTACCATCCCCAATTCTTAACCTTAACCATAAGGTGGGAATACAGTTGGTCCTCTGTGGCTCAGTTGGTAGAGCAAGGGTCGTGGGTTTGATTCCCGCTGGGGCCACCCGTGTGTAAAATGTATGCACACATGACCAGGTGGCTTTGGATAAAAGCGTCTGCTAATGGCTTATTATATTATTCAGTATGTCTCTGTCCAGGGTTATGGGTCTAACTCCACCTTCTATGTCCAACACTCATCACTGTCCTCTCTCCAGGGTTATGGGTCTAATGCCACAGCACCGTCTACGTCCAACACTAACAAGACCGTGAAGGAGAACAGTAACTCCGCCATCATCAAGAGGTTCAACCACCACAGTACCATGGTGCTGGCAGCAGGTTCCGGAAAGAAGGCGTGAGTTGATGATTTTAAGTACTTTCTTTCTCAAAAGTGATCTTCACTGCGGACCCGTGTGCTAACCTAGTGGTCTGTCTGTTCGGTCTTCATAGGGATGCTCCTAACGATCAGGCCTGTGAGACTAGCAGTACTGATGGAAACTCTAGGGACTCAGACTTCTTCCAACCACCCATTAAGAAGGTATGGTAATATCTCTGTTATTGTGAAGGCAAATCATTCAAGGTAAAGGCTCGCTTAGCGCTGAGCTTTATAAATATACTGAACAAAAATATAAAACGCAACAATTTCAACGATTTTACTGAGTTACACGGGGGGTATGAAAAATAAATAAAATAATGTATGCACTCACTAACTGTGTAAGTCGCTCTGGATAAGAGCGTCTGCTAAATGACTAAAATGTAAATGCAATATATGGAAATCAGTCAATTGAAATAAATTCATTAGGCCCAATCTATTGATTTCACTTGACTGGGAATACAGATAAGAATCAATTGGTCACAGATACCTTTAAAAAGTAGGGGCGTGGATCAGAACCAGTCTCTGGTGTGACCACCATTTGCCTCATGCAGTGCATCATATCTCCTTCGCATAGATTGATCAGGCTGTTGATTGTGGAATGTTGTCCCACTCCTCTTCAATGGCTGGGCGAAGTTGCTGGATATTGGCGGGAACTGGAACACGCTGTCGTACACGTCGATCCAGAGCATCCCAAACATGCTCAATAGGTGACATGTCTGGTGAGTATGCAGGTCATGGAAGAACTGGGACATTTTCAGCTTCCAGGAATTGTGTACCGATCCTTGCGACATGGGGCCGTGCATTATCATGCTGAAACATGAGTTGATGGCGGCGGATGAATGGCACGACAACGGGCCTCAGGATTTCGTATTGGTATCTGTGTGCATTCAAATTGGAATCAATCAAATGGAATTGTTCGTTGTCCGTAGCTTATGCCTGCCCATACCATAACCCCACCGCCACCATGGGACACTCTGTTCACAATGTTGACATCAGAAAACTGCTCACCCACACGACTCCATACACGTGGTCTGCAGTTGTGAGGCCGATTAGACGTACTGCCAAAAGGCGGCTTAAGGTAGAGAAATTAACATGAAATTCTCTGGCAATAGCTCTGGCGGACATTCCTGCAAACAGCATGCCAATTGCACGCTCCCTCAACATTTGAGACATTTGTGGCATTGTGTTGTGTGACAAAACTGCACATTTTAGAGTGGCTTTTTATTGTCCCCAGCACAAGGTGCACCTGTGTAATGACCATGCTGTTTAATCAGTTTCTTGATATGCCACACCTGTCAGGTGGATGTATTATCTTGGCAAAGGAGAAATGTTCGCAAACAGGGATGTAAACAAATTTGTGCACAAAATTTGAGAGAAATAAGCCTTTTTGTACGTATGAAACATTTCTGGGATCTTTTATTTCAGCTCACGAAACATGGGACCAACACTTTACGTTTTTTATATTTTTGTTCAGTGTACATTATGAGCATTGACACAGTAAAAGCATTAATCTCACTGCTATGCCTCTGCTATAGGCACTCACCCTTTATGATGGTACAGAGAACCATACAATGTGCTTGCTTTCCAAGATGAGTTGGCACTTTTGTTGTTAAAGCTGTGGTGGGATATTTCAGGTGAAAATACAAGACGTCGTAGAGTACGAGGACCTTCACAAGGAGAACGGGAGGAAGACAGTCGCTCTGAACCTCAAGAAGTCTGACAGGTGGGTTGTATATCACTGAGTGGGTGCTCTGCTCTGTCTGGTGTGGTTGTTCATGGACATCATACTTTGGAACTAGTATGCTCTGGTTCTTTCTCTACCCCTGGTTCTTTCTCTACCCCTGGTTCGTTCTCTACCCCCTGGTTCTTTCTCTACCCCCTGGTTCTTTCTCTACCCCCTGGTTCTTTCTCTACCCCCTGGTTCTTTCTCTACCCCCTGGTTCTTTCTCTACCCCCTGGTTCGTTCTCTACCCCCTGGTTCGTTCTCTACCCCCTGGTTCTTTCTCTACCCCTGGTTCTTTCTCTACCCCTGGTTCGTTCTCTACCCCTCGTTTTTAACTGAATGCATCCAAATAGTCGACTGTGTTCTCTCCATGGTTGGAGTCGAATTGAAGTCAGTCAATTCAGGAAGTTAATTTAAATTTCCATTCAATAATTTAAAAAATGACATATATTTTCAACGATTTTCTCAAACTGAAAAGTAGAAGCTATTTAATTCTAAATTTGTGCAATTCTTTTTTTAAATCACTTCCTGAACTGACTGCCTTCAATTCTAATCACTTCCTGAACTGACTGCCTTCAATTTGAATTGACCCCAACCCTGGTTCTCTCACATACTCTCTAGTGATGGGAAGTTCGGCTCTTTTTACAGTTTACCCCCCCCCCCCCCCCCCACCACCCGTCGTTCAGTCCCAAAAAACGAATTGTTCGACTAATTTCGTTCATTTGAGTCAGTTAATGCCCAGAGAGCACGCAGGATGCCCCACCGGTGAACGATAAAACTTTGAGTCATGATTCTAAAAGCCTCTCGTTCACATGGCCTTCACCATAAGGGGCTTACTGGAGCTGTCATTTGTGACTGAGAGATGATTATTTATTGATACATTTGAAACAAGGTCTAGTTGTGGCCGCAACCAGACTAGATTGTGAACAACTCTTGGCGGAATGCATTGCTTGACTGCTGTGAGAGTGATGAGCACAATATCGTTCGCGAACTGCAGCCCCCCCCCCCCCCCCCCCAAATGATTCGTGCTTGAGTTTGTTGAGCAGAGGCTGTGTATGTTTCGGTTCTACAAAGCTGCGTCCATCATAACATTCAGTAATCAATTAGTTGCGTTCATTGCACCATGCGATCACTTATCAGTTCTAAACAAGTATTTTTCTTCTCCTGCCACATGATCTATTTCCCCTCGCGCCAGTTGCTGGTTACGGTACGTCTCCAGAGCCTCTTGAGTACGTATTTAATCCCGCTGTAGAATTCGTTGCGGCCAGCATGTCAAACAAACAACTAAAATGAACAAGTCACTGGGGAAAAAGGAAATCATGACTGGAGTCAGTAAAAAGAGTAGTTAAAATAGAATGACTTGTTCGCCAACTGCACATCACTAATACTCTCATGGTAATGTCTGTAAATTACGTCTCTGTTCTTCCAGGTACTCTCATGGTAATGTCTGTAAATTACGTCTCTGTTCTTCCAGGTACTCTCATGGTAATGTCTGTAAATTACGTCTCTGTTCTTCCAGGTACTCTCATGGTAATGTCTGTAAATTACGTCTCTGTTCTTCCAGGTACTCTCATGGTAATGTCTGTAAACTACGTCTCTGTTCTTCCAGGTACTCTCATGGTAATGTCTGTAAATTACGTCTGTTCTTCCAGGTACTCTCATGGTATGGTAATGTCTGTAAATTACGTCTCTGTTCTTCCAGGTACTCTCATGGTAATGTCTGTAAATTACGTCTCTGTTCTTCCAGGTACTCTCATGGTCCTGTGCCTCTCCTGCCCCAACAGTACACCACCAGTCAAGACATCATCAACTCTGTCAACTGTATAAAGCATGAAATAGCCAGCTACAAGCCCTGCCTTACTCAGGTTAGATACCACTCCGCTAGTCAGCTACAAGCCCTGTCTTACTCAGGTTAGATATCACTCTGCTAGCCAGCTACAAGCCCTGTCTTACTCAGGTTAGATATCACTCTGCTAGCCAGCTACAAGCCCTGTCTTACTCAGGTTAGATACCACTCTGCTAACCAGCTACAAGCCCTGTCTTACTCAGGTTAGATACCACTCTGCTAGCCAGCTACAAGCCCTGCCTTACTCGGGTTAGATATCACTCTGCTAGCCAGCTACAAGCCCTGTCTTACTCAGGTTAGATACCACTCTGCTAGCCAGCTACAAGCCCTGCCTTACTCGGGTTAGATATCACTCTGCTAGCCAGCTACAAGCCCTGTCTTACTCAGGTTAGATACCACTCTGCTAACCAGCTACAAGCCCTGCCTTACTCAGGTTAGATATCACTCTGCTAGCCAGCTACAAGCCCTGTCTTACTCAGGTTAGATATCACTCTGCTAGCCAGCTACAAGCCCTGCCTTACTCAGGTTAGATACCACTCTGCTAGCCAGCTACAAGCCCTGCCTTACTCAGGTTAGATACCACTCTGCTAGCCAGCTACAAGCCCTGTCTTACTCAGGTTAGATATCACTCTGCTAGCCAGCTACAAGCCCTGCCTTACTCAGGTTAGATACCACTCTGCTAGCCAGCTACAAGCCCTGCCTTACTCAGGTTAGATACCACTCTGCTAGCCAGCTACAAGCCCTGCCTTACTCAGGTTAGATATCACTCTGCTAGCCAGCTACAAGCCCTGCCTTACTCAGGTTAGATACCACTCTGTTTCTCCACTAATCTCTGAAATCCAGAACTAAAATCTTGCGTTATTGCGTCAGAGGCTCGATTTAGGTTCTAGGGAGGAGAGGTTGAGAGAAAGATACTAAAGTATGTTTGTTTGTTGAATTCTGTTTATTTGTTCGAAAGGTATTTTTACCAGTTGTGATCCTCCCTTTACAGGTGATGTCCAGCAGTACAGCCAGTTGTGCCATCGCTGCCCTCTCCCCAGGGGGTATTCTCATGCAGGCGTTAGCACAGCAAGCCATTAACCGTGAGTTTACTGATGCCATTTGTTCAAATTTATTTACCTAATGAGTAGATTTAAAATCTGGCTCGCCTATTAGGATTGTGCTTCATCATCTGATGAAGAGGTTGGAAGACGTTAGTTTTGTAAATGCACCCACCCAGTCAGTCAGGCGTCGGCCATTTGTCAGTCAGTTATCTGTCATCAGTCAGTCGGTCAGCCGTCACTCATTCGTCGGTCAGCCGTCAGTCAGCCATCCGTCAGCCAGCCATACATCAGCCAGTGGTCAGTCATCCGTAAGTCAACCGTCAGTTGTCCGCCAGCCGTCAGCCGGTCATCATGAATCGATTTTCTGACCAATGCATGCTACATTTGGATCGATTTCTGACTAATGCATGCTACATTTGGATCGGTTTGGGGTCCGCAGACCGACGCAGTCTTAACTGAAACATTTTAATTGGGGACTGATGCGTATCGGTGAATCGTTACATCCGCCGGTCGTCCGTCAGTCAGTCATCAACACAGATGTTCTCTTATGTTGTGTTATTGCTTGTTTCTTGGTTACAGAGATGGTGCCCAGTGACGTCCAGGGGGAGCTGAAGCATCTGTACACGGCTTCTGGGGAGCTGCTGAGACACTTCTGGTCCTGTTTTCCTGTGAACACACCCTTTCTGGAAGAGAAGGTGACTACTGCTTGAAGGGGCAATCTGCAGTTCAAACAATAACAAAGCTGCTACCCCACCACTGTTTTGATAAACAGTTGAGGAATATCGCTGGAGAAATGTTAACCACTCTCAAATCCTTTTACCATCCATCTACTGCCTACTGCAACCCTAGGTCTATAATCGTGTGGGCTGTCAGTACAGATGTAATGATTCACCGATACGCATCGGTCCCCGATTCAAAAGTTTAAGATGGTACTGCTTCGGTCCGCGGACCCCAAACGATCCAAATGTAGCATGCATTGGTCAGAAAATCGATTCAAACATTAGGAATTGCTGATTCACGAAAATGTTCTGTTCATATTACTTTTTTTGTACCTTTTGAAAAATGTATTTTGTGACAACTGGTGCGTCCCCTGTGGGGTGTCTCTGATCTGGTGGGGGTAGATGTCTAGTCTCCATTATGACTCTAATCTGGTAGTGGGGGGGTAGATGTCTAGTCTCCATTATGGCTCTAATCTGGTAGTGGGGGGGTAGATGTCTAGTCTCCATTATGGCTCTAATCTGGTAGTGGGGTATTAGATGTCTAGTCTCCATTATGGCTCTAATCTGGTAGTGAGGTGGTAGATGTCTAGTCTCCATTATGGCTCTAATCTGGTAGTGGGGTGGTAGATGTCTAGTCTCCATTATGGCTCTAATCTGGTAGTGGGGTATTAGATGTCTAGTCTCCATTATGGCTCTAATCTGGTAGTGGGGTATTAGATGTCTAGTCTCCATTATGGCTCTAATCTGGTAGTGGGGTATTAGATGTCTAGTCTCCATTATGGCTCTAATCTGGTAGTGAGGTGGTAGATGTCTAGTCTCCATTATGGCTCTAATCTGGTAGTGGGGTGGTAGATGTCTAGTCTCCATTATGGCTCTAATCTGGTAGTGGGGTGGTAGATGTCTAGTCTCCATTATGGCTCTAATCTGGTAGTGGGGTGGTAGATGTCTAGTCTCCATTATGGCTCTAATCTGGTAGTGGGGTGGTAGATGTCCAGTCTCCATTATGGCTCGGATCAGGAGGGGGGTAGATGTCCAGTCTCCATTATGACTCTAATCTGATAGTGGGGTGGTAGATGTCTAGTCTCCCTTATGGCTCAGATCAGGTGTACATACATAATTTACACACTCACAGTCCGCTCGGACAGATCCAGGCCACACACACACACACAGCCAATCAAATGCATTTATAAAGCTCCTTTTTACATCCCCATATGTCAGAAAGTTCTTATACAGAAACTAAGCCTAAACCTCAAAAGAGGATCCAGAGAGGCTCCAGCCCAGAGGCTCAGACGGCTCCAGCCCAGAGGCTCAGACGGCTCCAGCCCAGAGGCTCAGACGGCTCCAGCCCAGAGGCTCAGACGGCTCCAGCCCAGAGGCTCAGACGGCTCCAGCCCAGAGGCTCAGACGGCTCCAGCCCAGAGGCTCAGACGGCTCCAGCCCAGAGGCTCAGACGGCTCCAGCCCAGAGGCTCAGACGGCTCCAGCCCAGAGGCTCAGACGGCTCCAGCCCAGAGGCTCAGACGGCTCCAGCCCAGAGGCTCAGACGGCTCCAGCCCAGAGGCTCAGACGGCTCCAGCCCAGAGGCTCAGACGGCTCCAGCCCAGAGGCTCAGACGGCTCCAGCCCAGAGGCTCAGACGGCTCCAGCCCAGAGGCTCAGACGGCTCCAGCCCAGAGGCTCAGACGGCTCCAGCCCAGAGGCTCAGACGGCTCCAGCCCAGAGGCTCAGACGGCTCATGAGCTCCATCAGCAGCAGATTTTAATGTAGAATGGAAAATGTGTTTATGCAACAAACGGAAAATGTATGTGTTTATGCAACAAATGGAAAATGTGTGTTTATGCAACAAACGTTAGTGCGTCAAATCGTATCGCATCAATCCGTTCTCTAATCAAACCGAATTGCACCGACTTGTTTAAAAGTCATATTTATCGTTCCTGTATCGTATCGGAGCCTGTGTGTCTAGATACGCATTGAATCATCTTGGAGGGAAAAGATGCACATCCCTTGCTGTCGGTCATTGCATCCATGGGTCAATCTATGAATTTGATTTCATTCTTACTTCCCTTTCTATGACCTTTCAAAGCAGGAAGTGAAGGCCAGGGCAGGAAAAACTCATGACAATAGAGCCGGTAACGCTGGGCCCCCATGTAGCTCAGTGGGTAGAGCATGGCGCTTGCAACGCCAGGGTTGTGGGTTCGATTCCCACGGGGGACCAGTATGGAAAATGTACGCACTCACTAAACTGTAAGTCGCTCTGGATAAGAGCGTCTGCTAAAATGACAAAAATGTAACTCTGTTGCCGGTAACTCTTGCACGTCTTTTCTCCTGTGTGTATCAGGTGGTGAAGATGAGGGCCAACCTGGAGAGATTCCAGATGACCAAGCTCCGCCCCTTCCAGGAGAAGATCCAGCGTCAATACTTGAGTACTAACGTAAGGCCCCAGCCTAGAGACTCATCATTTTTTCTAATCGGGTATCTAATAGTGTTAATACTAATAGTATGAGACCTTTTTTTTTAAGAATACAATTTCTCCAAGTGCTATAGGGAGGTCCTGTCTGGATTAGTTGGTAGAGCACGGCAGGGTTGTGGGTTTGATTCCCAAATCTGCTGCACCCATATGAAAAATGTATGCGTTCATGACTGTAAGTCGCTTTGGATAAAAGTGTCTGCTAAATGGCATATGTTAAAAATAATACTATAGACTACCTTTTTCAAAGAGCACCTTGCATACTCAGTCTACAGAGTTTTTATTTTATTTTTAAAGACTGTAACCCTTGAGATAGCTCCAGCATATTATCTCTTCTTCCGCTCAGAATAAGATGCCTTTTGTTTTAAATCTCTCCCACAGCTTACTGGTCACCTGGAGGACATGTTTCAGATGGCCTACAATAAATTCCACGCCTGGCAAACACGTCGGATGATGAGGAAAACCTGAGAGGAGAGAAACGAACGGATGGCTTGTCAGAGAGAATGGAAGGATGACGAAAGAAAGAAAGAATGAATGAATGAATGAACGAGTACAAGATAGATGGCCCTTAGCCTAACCTACCAGGCTGCTGTGACAGAGGAGAGAGTCCCAGGGGGTGTCACTGTGTCTGTGTGGTGGGATGAAGATGATCCAGGCGGTGCTGCTGCTAGCCTGCTAAAAACCCCACAGTTCCGGCAGACAGACAGACTAACTCACTGGATCTCAATCACAAATTACTCTAATTAGTTTCTTTTTTGTTTTTGCATTTTCCTCAATGAATGGGAAGATGTCGCGGGATCATGACTCTCCGATTTATAAGGGTTGAACGAACATAGACAAACGTTTTAAATTGTATAGAACGACCAAACTTCAGACGGGAAGTCGAAAGGAACTCAGGAACTGAACAGACAATGTCAAATAATAATACATTTTATAAGCAAAAGGACTGTGATGTGAAGCTAAAGACCTAATGTGGGATGCTTTTATCAGTACACACTCGTAGTACAGAGATTTAAGGGTGGCGATGGAGAGCTCAATACAGATACTATTCCCTATATAGTGCACAACTTTTGACTAGGGCCTGATTGGCTCTGGTCGAAAGTAGTGCACTGTACAGGGAATAGGGTGCTATTCGGGAGGGAGACCATGACTCTGCCCCAATCACACTTTAAAACTGCACTGGTATGTAATGTCTGTTCTGTTTACAGCTGCACTGAAGACAAAGTGTCTGGATGTTACTCAAACATTAAAGTGAAATATTCATGCTTTTTTTGTTTATTCTGTCTGACTGGTTTTAGCTCGTTTCTTTTAATGTGTGTTCAGTAGTTGGTGAGGCTGTTTTTTTTTATATGATCTATGGGTGGAAAGTGTGGGATGAAGTTGCCCCTAGACACTGATCTGAGGTCATATTTGCTTTTTCCCCACTAGTGGTTAAGGTTAGGATTTGGGAAGGGGAAACTACACCCCAGAGCTGGGTTCAACCTGAAGGATTCCATGTAGTTGTTGTCGTCTAAATTCTTCAGAAATCCACAACCGTCAGAATGAAGACTAGGCTCTATAGCCTAGCCTGGTTACACCAGAGTGAATGTGTTGTGTTCCGTCTGGTGGGTTAACCAGGCTATAGGCTCTCCGGCACCAGAGTGAATGTGTTGTGTTCAGTCTGGTGGGTTAACCAGGCTATAGGCTCTCGGCACCAGAGTGAATGTGTTGTGTTCAGTCTGGTGGGTTAACCAGGCTATAGGCTCTCCGGCACCAGAGTGAATGTGTTGTGTTCAGTCTGGTGGGTTAACCAGGCTATAGGCTCTCCGGCACCAGAGTGAATGTGTTGTGTTCAGTCTGGTGGGTTAACCAGGCTATAGGCTCTCGGCACCAGAGTGAATGTGTTGTGTTCAGTCTGGTGGGTTAACCAGGCTATAGGCTCTCCGGCACCAGAGTGAATGTGTTGTGTTCAGTCTGGTGGGTTAACCAGGCTATAGGCTCTTATCAGGGCCCGTATTCACCAACTGTCTCAGAGTAGGAGTGCTGATCTAGGATCGGATGTATTATGATCTGAGGGAGAAAAAAAATAAATAACCTGCACACTGCTCTTTATTAAGCTTTACGTATCGGCCTTCGTCGGAACAGTGTGCGGGTTTCTTTTTTTCCCCCTCATGTTATTCGATTGTTACCAGGCGCCTGCAACAAATATAGCTCAGATGTGCGAGTGCCTTTTTTTAAAATTTTGATTCATTATGACCTAAAATGCAAACTGATCCTAGATCTGCAGTACTACTCTGGGAGGTTTTATGAATCGAGATGTAGCTCAGTTCGTAGAGCATGGTGTTTGCAACGCCAGGGTTGTGGGTTCGTTTCCCATGGGGGGTATAAAAAAATTAAATAGTAATGTATGCACTAACTGTAAGTCGCTCTGGATAAGAGCGTCTGCTAAATGACTAAAATGTAAATGTAAAAATGAGAGAAGAAGAAAAAAAAGCTCTGTAAAGTAGTGTTTCTCTCATGGTGGTTTGAGTTTACACAGCGCTTAGTTTGGGTTAACGCTTGACAGCCTCTTTGTCATAGAGATGGAGCAATGTTTAATCTCGGTGACATCACCTAGCGTGGAGGAATCCAGTCGGCTGTCATTCCACTCCCCCTGGAGGAGTGGAATGTTAGAACATTTACATTTACGTCATTTAGCAGACGCTCTTATCCAGAACAAACCAGGTTCTGGATTTCATGCTAGAGATCACTATCACCTCAACCTTTTAGACTTCTTATCTGTGCTACATGCCTCAGTATGGGATCACTTAAATCCCTAGTGTGGCTAATGATTAGGGGATTTATCCCAAATGGCACCCTATTCCCTACACAGTGCACTACTTTTGACCAGAGTCCTATGGGCCCTGGTCAGAAATAGTGCACTACATGGGGAATATAGTGCCGTTTGGGATGCTGGGATGCACACTTATCCTCATCTCTTGTTAGTGGGCTATTTTGGTGTGCGCTGCAGAGGATGTCTTGGGCATCTTCTCATGTTTCAATCAATAGAGGGTTGCTAATGGACTGCACCACTACCCAACACTGGCCCGTGAAGTGTGCCTGCGCCACTGGAAATAGTGCACACTCACAGAAATAAAATGCAGGGGCTTTAATTCTATTCCCATGAGCCTAGAACACTGATTTATTATAAAGGTCTACATATATGCTTACACATAGTGAACTAATCACCCATGTCTTATTCTACACACTGACAATGCATCACGCAGGGATTTTTCCTTTTTTATTTTAGGTGACAAACTAATTGCCATGGTTACATTAATTTAATAACTCGGGGATTCATGTTTCATGTCAAGTAATTTTTTTTGGTACTGAACAGTCTGGTAGTGTAGTAGGGACAAACCTCCTTGAAAGACTAAAAATAAAATAGTACCAGTAAATAGAGACTTTTCAGGAAGTGTCCGAGGCGGAGGAGTCGACAGTTCATTCTAGCTAGAAAGTAAACAACTAGTTAGATACACAGCTAAGGGCATGAACGGATATAAGGACATGAACGGATAGCAACTGTGTATCACGAAGATTGGATCGCGATTCAAACTGCGGGACTGTAATGCCTGGTAAGTTTGTCACAAAACTAAACAAACGATTGCCTAGCCGCTAACGTTAGCTCGTTAACTTTCCCTACCTATGCAAGCGAGAGAGCTGGCTAGCTCGCTAATTAACGTTACCTATCTAAAAACAATAACATTTGATAATCGACGATGGTCAGTCAGCCACAAAGCTGACTAGTCAAAAACAAATAAACTGAGGTTAGTTTGCGTTTTTCACATTAGATCGCGAAGTTATGCGATTTTCCATTGTATCTGGAGGCACTTTCCCCCCTACGCAGGGTCCCGTGATGCCCAGTCATCTATTCATACCACCTACCGACACCAAAGTTTACAAACGCTTTCACATCGAGACAAAATTAGTTACTTTCAGATGGCCAACTAAATCCAAGCGCGGTTGACTAAAATACCATGTAAAGTGAACAAACCTAACTTAGTCTACAAGTTTTACTTTCATTATCTAGCTGCGGCAACTGCCTGCATTGTTGGAATGTGAAAGTTTGTTGTCAAGTTATTTGCAGTGAGCTGTCAAGATGGTGATTCAACGTGATTTACAGCAAAAAAACCTTTAGCTTAGTTTTTCAGAGATGAAACTGTTTTGGCTGATGATACATTTCTCAAAAAGGTGTGCCCTAATATGCATTCGTCCTTTTTACAGTTACCCTTTTTACTCTTGGTAGGTAGTGGGGGAAAGTGAAGTCATGATGTTTCAATTTGAGAGTAAGGTGGTGAGAGTCATATGACAAAACAAGGCAGCTGAGGTTTGGCAGACACTGGTAGGGCCCTATAAAATATCTGTTGCAAAAACGCGGACGGAATCCAGACATTAAAACGGAATTAAACAATATTCAAAAATGTATTGGAATTTAGTAGGAAATAAACAATGTATTTAACATTTTCTTGCAACTTTCTGAAACGGCTCAGGAATGCCCCTGTCTGTATGTGTGTGTATGTCTAGTCTACACCTTGTGTGGCCGTTAACTATAATGATACTAATGATAACCGTCTCGTCCGTCTGCTGGTAGATGGAATGGCTTCCCCAAAAACCTTCTCAATTCATGTTAACTTGAAAGTAGCCTATTTGTACGTGACTAGTATTACTAGAGAACGTTGGTTATGTAATTATTACCCCAGAATGTATGTTATTCCAGAAGACAATTCGGACGGGATGAGTTTTTTTTCCCAAACTGCCCCTTGTAAATCTTTATTTTTTTTGTTTTCTAAAAGTTTAGGTCAGTTGTGTGCTGCTTTGCGATCTATTAACAGCAAGGGTTGATTTAAATATGCGCAGTATTTTTTTATGGTGCATTTGCAATATTCAATTAATACGCACAAAACATAGAAACACAAGCCTTCACTGTGAAAGTTGATACATGTAGGCCGTTCATATCTAGTTTATGCGCAGCACTTCGTTCAATTTAGCGAATCAGTTATTGTTTTCTTTCTCAAACCGAGAGCAACACCTGTCAATCTCTGACATTATCTCTCAAAACACAGGGACGTCGATTCGCACGGGACTAATATTATCAGAGGAACTTGGGAGTTCGCCAAAAAAAACTGTAGGTTATTCTGGCTGGAATTGTTAGTCTCCTGCCATGTAAGAATTACTGCCGTGGCAGATTCGGACGGGATTTAAATTAGAGATGTGGTGTTTTGTGGTCGTGCACATAATTACATTACCCGACCTCCCACAGTAAAACTAATCTCGGGATGGGATACATTTTACTGGGCAGGTAATGTAGATATGTGCGCGAATAAAACCACATCCGTCATTTTAGTCCCGTCCGAATTTGCCTTGGCAGTAATTTTTACTATTATCCCAGCCCTAAAAACCTACAGTTTTTCGGCAAACTCCCAGGTCCTCTGATAATACTTATCCCGTGCGAATCGTCACCCCTGTGTTTTTAAGGGATATTACAGAGTTTAACAGGTGCTTCACCCAGTTTGGGTAAGAACATGGGGAACAAATTGATACTTAAAACAAAGTGTTATGCAGGTAGCCTACAGCTGAATGATTTGTTTTGTCACATATCTAGAGCCATACTTCTCTTTTTAAAAGATGAAGTGGACGATATTGTGCCAATGAATTGATAAATTGCCAAATGCGTCAGTTATTTAAATGTCTGCATACGTTACAGTTCATGGTTCTTATTGATATGCATTATTTAGACTTTCTCCGAACTGAAGGCCATTATGCCAATATTAGGCTATCCCTAGACATTTTAAATATTTTCACGCCTTGGAGAGCCTCCAGGTTTCATAAAGGTCCATTTTGAATGAGGGGAGAAAAAAACATTTACAGGGGCAGTTTGATAAAACTAATCCCGTCTGAATCATCCACTGGAAAAACATTTACATTTTTTTCCATTTTAGTCATTTAGCAGACGCTCTTATCCAGAGCGACATACAGGAGCAATTAGGGTTAAGTGCCTTACTTAAGGGCACATCGACAGATTTTTCACCTAGTCGGCTCGGGGATTAGAACCAGCGACCTTTCGTTACTGGCTCAACGCTCTTACCCACTAAGCTACCTGCTTATTACTGGGGTAATAATTACATAACCGACGTTCCATAGTAATTCTAGCCCCGTGTGAATAGGGCTTTGGGCTGTAATACCTGGCGCAAATGAGCCATTTATAACGGTTTGTGTTCTTAACATCTGGCACATAATAACAGCACAATTGCCAGAAAATAGCCTAACATTAGTTTTTTTTATGTTCATCCAAGTGTTTCTTGCTCATAGATTTCGAGATCCTCTGTCCTACTTTCATCACTCAAACTCTCCTATATAGTTATGCACATGCGCAGAGGGGATTTATTTACAATTATAAACCTCCTTCTAAGCCCCGAATGCTGATTTGGCTGAAAGCCGTGGTATATCAGACCATATACCATGGGTATGACAAAAAATATTTTTTACTGTTCTAATTACGTTGGTAACCAGTTTGTAACAGCAATAAGGAACCCCGGGGGATTGTGGTATATGGCCAATATACCACGGCTAAGGGCTGTATCCAGGCACTCTGTGTTGCCTCATGCTTAAGAACAGCCCTTAGCCGTGGTATATTGGCCATATACCATACTCCCTTGTGCCTTATTGCTTAATCATAGCAGTCAACCAAGTTAAATCGAAATCCATTTATGGAAAATGATCTAGCAAGTTTAATTAGATCAAATTATATTTTCTCTTGCGACATATTCAAATTCCTTTATTATGTCATGTCATAGCTCTCAATGTTTGTTTTTTTAGCCCACACTAGGTAGCTGAGGGTTAGCCAACACGAGGTAGCTGAGGGTTAGCCCACACTAGGTAGCTGAGGGTTAGCCCACACTAGGTAGCTGAGGGTTAGCCCACACTAGGTAGCTGAGGGTTAGCCAACACGAGGTAGCTGAGGGTTAGCCCACACTAGGTAGCTGAGGGTTAGCCAACACGAGGTAGCTGAGGGTTAGCCCACACTAGGTAGCTGAGGCTAGCTGAGGGTTAGCCAACACGAGGTAGCTGAGGGTTAGCCAACACGAGGTAGCTGAGGGTTAGCCCACACTAGGTAGCTGAGGGTTAGCCCACACTAGGTAGCTGAGGGTTAGCCAACACGAGGTAGCTGAGGCTAGCTGAGGGTTAGCCAACACGAGGTAGCTGAGGGTTAGCCAACACGAGGTAGCTGAGGGTTAGCCCACACTAGGTAGCTGAGGGTTAGCCCACACTAGGTAGCTGAGGGTTAGCCAACACGAGGTAGCTGAGGCTAGCTGAGGGTTAGCCAACACGAGGTAGCTGAGGGTTAGCCAACACGAGGTAGCTGAGGGTTAGCCCACACTAGGTAGCTGAGGGTTAGCCAACACGAGGTAGCTGAGGGTTAGCCCACACTAGGTAGCTGAGGGTTAGCCAACACGAGGTAGCTGAGGCTAGCTGAGGGTTAGCCAACACGAGGTAGCTGAGGGTTAGCCAACACGAGGTAGCTGAGGCTAGCTGAGGGTTAGCCCACACTAGGTAGCTGAGGGTAGCTGAGGGTTAGCCAACACTAGGTAGCTGAGGGTAGCTGAGGGTTAGCCAACACTAGGTAGCTGAGGGTTAGCCAACACGAGGTAGCTGAGGGTAGCTGAGGGTTAGCCAACACTAGGTAGCTGAGGGTTAGCCAACTCTACGCAACTAATGAATGAGGAGCAGACAGCAGGCTAGCTGAGCTGCATCTTTACAATTTATACAGGATGATACATTTCTCAGATTAAATGGGCCTAGCTACAACAAAACAGTGTTTTGTCTCTGCATTCTGTATGACAGAATTACATTTTGGTTTGATTAGACCCTGATAGTCAGTCTTCTAGAAATGCCATTCTCTCTCTCTAATTCCCTCCCTCCCTCCTCCCTCCCTCTATCCCCTTCTCTCTCTCTCTCATTCCCTCCCTCCCTCCTCCCTCCCTCTATCCCCTTCTCTCTCTCTCTCATTCCCTCCCTCCCTCCTCCCTCCCTCTATCCCCTTCTCTCTATCCCCTTCTCTCTATCCCCTTCTCTCTATCCCCTTCTCTCTATCCCCTCCCTCTATCCCTCCTCCCTCCCTCTATCCCCTTCTCTCTATCTCATTCTCTCTATCCCCTTCTCTCTGTCCCCTTCTCTCTATCCCCTCCCTCCCCCCTCCCTCCTCCCTCCCTCCCTCCCTCCCTCCCTCCCTCCCTCTATCCCCTTCTCTCTCTCTCTCATTTCCTCCCTCCCTCCTCACTCCCTCTATCCCCTTCTCTCTCTCTCATTCCCTCCCTCCCTCCTCCCTCCCTCCTCCTCCCTCCCTCTATCCCCTTCTCTCTCTCTCATTCCCTCCCTCCCTCCTCCCTCCCTCCTCCCTCCTTCTATCCCCTTCTCTCTCTCTAATTCCCTCCCTCCCTCCTCACTCCCTCTATCCCCTTCTCTGTCTCTCATTTCCTCCCTCCCTCCTCACTCCCTCTATCCCCTCCTCTCTCTCTCATTCCCTCACTCCCTCCCTCTATCCCCTTCTCTCTCTCTCTCATTCCCTCCCTCCCTCCCTCTATCCCCTTCTCTCTCTCTCATTCCCTCCCTCCTCCCTCCCTCCATCCCCTTCTCTCTCTCTCATTCCATCCCTCCCTCCTCACTCCCTCTATTCCCTTCTCTGTCTCTCATTCCCTCCCTCCCTCTATCCCCTTCTCTCTCTCTCATTCCCTCCCTCCCTCCTCCCTCACTCTATCCCCTTCTCTCTGTCCCCTTCTCTCTATCCCCTCCCTCTATCCCTCCTCCCTCTCTCTATCCCCTTCTCTCTATCCCCTTCTCTCTATCCCCTTCTCTCTATCCCCTTCTCTCTGTCCCCTTCTCTCTATCCCCTCCCTCCCCCCTCCCCCCTCCTCCCTCCTCCCTCCCTCTATCCCCTTCTCTCTCTCATTCCCTCCTCCCTCCCTCTATCCCATTCTCTCTGTCCCCTTCTCTCTATCCCCTTCTCTCTGTCCCCTTCTCTCTATCCCCTCCCTCTATCCCTCCTCCCTCTCTCTATCCCCTTCTCTCTGTCCCCTTCTCTCGATCCCCTCCCTCCCTCCCTCCCTCTATCCCCTTCTCTCGATCCCCTCCCTCCCTCCCTCCCTCCTCCCTCCCTCTATCCCCTTCTCTCGATCCCCTCCCTCCCTCCCTCCCTCCTCCCTCCCTCTATCCCCTTCTCTCTGTCCCTCTCTAAGCTGGTCAGGACCGTATCCATGCCCATGTTAGCTGTAGTACCTGAAGTCCAGAGTCATGTGCTGGCTGAGTTTGACTGTCTGGACCCCCTGCTGTCTGCACTCCGCCTGGACTCTGGCAGGCTCAAGGTAGGCCATGCATGTCCATTATCATTAGTTGAGAAAAGTTAGAGGTTAGACACAAAATTCAATTCACAATTTATTTATTTGTTGAAGGAAGAGATATCAAGTGGATTGTAAGGGTTTGTATTGAATAAACAAACAAAAAAAATGTTTTCCAGCTCCTGTGAATAGTTTGGATTAGTCTGATTAATCAGTCTGTAATACACAATTAATTGATATACAGTGGGGGAAAAAAGTATTTAGTCAGCCACCAATTGTGCAAGTTCTCCCACTTAAAAAGATGAGAGAGGCCTGTAATTTTCATCATAGGTACACGTCAACTATGACAGACAAAATGAGGAAAAAAAATCCAGAAAATCACATTGTAGGATTTTTAATGAATTTATTTGCAAATTATGGTGGAAAATAAGTATTTGGTCAATAACAAAAGTTTCTCAATACTTTGTTTTATACCCTTTGTTGGCAATGACACAGGTCAAACGTTTTCTGTAAGTCTTCACAAGGTTTTCACACACTGTTGCTGGTATTTTGGCCCATTCCTCATGCAGATCTCCTCTAGAGCAGTGATGTTTTGGGGCTGTCGCTGGGCAACACGGACTTTCAACTCCCTCCAAATATTTTCTATGGGGTTGAGATCTGGAGACTGGCTAGGCCACTCCAGGACCTTGAAATGCTTCTTACGAAGCCACTCCTTCTTTGCCCGGGCGGTGTGTTTGGGATCATTGTCATGCTGAAAGACCCAGCCACAATTCATCTTCAATGCCCTTGCTGATGGAAGGAGGTTTTCACTCAAAATCTCACGATACATGGCCCCATTCATTCTTTCCTTTACACGGATCAGTCGTCCTGGTCCCTTTGCAGAAAAACAGCCCCAAAGCATGATGTTTCCACCCCCATGCTTCACAGTAGGTATGGTGTTCTTTGGATGCAGCTCAGCATTATTTGTCCTCCAAACACGACGAGTTGAGTTTTTACCAAAAAGTTCTATTTTGGTTTCATCTGACCATATGACATTCTCCCAATCCTCTTCTGGATCATCCAAATGCACTCTAGCAAACTTCAGACGGGCCTGGACATGTACTGGCTTAAGCAGGGGGACACGTCTGGCACTGCAGGATTTGAGTCCCTGGCGGCGTAGTGTGTTACTGATGGTAGGCTTTGTTACTTTGGTCCCAGCTCTCTGCAGGTCATTCACTAGGTCCCCCCGTGTGGTTCTGGGATTTTTGCTCACCGTTCTTGTGATCATTTTGACCCCACGGGGTGAGATCTTGCGTGGAGCCCCAGATCGAGGGAGATTATCAGTGGTCTTGTATGTCTTCCATTTCCTAATAATTGCTCCCACAGTTGATTTCTTCAAACCAAGCTGCTTACCTATTGCAGATTCAGTCTTCCCAGCCTGGTGCAGGTCTACAATTTTGTTTCTGGTGTCCTTTGACAGCTCTTTGGTCTTGGCCATAGTGGAGTTTGGAGTGTGACTGTTTGAGGTTGTGGACAGGTGTCTTTTATACTGATAACAAGTTCAAACAGGTGCCATTAATACAGGTAACGAGTGGAGGACAGAGGAGCCTCTTAAAGAAGAAGTTACAGGTCTGTGAGAGCCAGAAATCTTGCTTGTTTGTAGGTGACCAAATACTTATTTTCCACCATAATTTGCAAATAAATTCATTAAAAATCCTACAATGTGATTTTCTGGATTTTCTTTCCTCAATTTGTCTGTCGTAGTTGACGTGTACCTATGATGGAAATTACAGGCCTCTCTCATCTTTTTAATTGGGAGAACTTGCACAATTGGTGGCTGACTAAATACTTTTTTTCCCCACTGTATACAGCCTGGCACATTGGAGTGCAAAATCGTGTAAATGTTCGTTACAAGCCAGAATGTTGAATTTACAATTTAAACTTACTCTACCGGTTGTCTGTGCGGTTTGTCCTTCAGCTTCTCGAAATTTGAGACAAAATATCCACAGGAATGTTTTTAGACAGCCGGTAGGTTTATGGTTCTGTCGGCTTGCATTTCCGGTGTGTATTTGCAATCTACTGACGCATGCGACGTAAACACTTGCACAATATGTAAACGATAGCCGAGTGTAACCCAACCACAGACCGAAAGTTGCTCGCATTCAGCTGGCAGTGGCAAACCTACCGGCTCTCTAAAAAGTTTTGCAAATAATACCTTCCTGCGGATATTTTGTCTCAAATTTCAAACAGCTGGAGGACAAACCACACAGACAACCGATAGAGTAAGTTTAAATGTAATTTTATTCAACATTCCAACTTTTAAGGAACATTTACACAGTTTTACTCTCCAATGTGCCAGGCTATATACACTACAAGTCAAACGTTTGGACACACCTACTCATTCAAGGTTTTGTTATATTGAAGAAATTTAAACTATGAAATAACACATATGGAATCATGTAGTAAACAAAAAAAGTGTTAAACAAATCAA